AATATTTAACTAATAATGCTACCATGACTATACCAAATGCCAACTTCAATGTCAATTTTGCTATTACTTTATTTTACTTTAGATTTAAAACTCAGCAAAGCCTCTTTTGTCATTTTAATAGAAAAACTAAGGATATGGGGTATCTATCCATGACACAAAATCAGTACATGCACACAAAAAAAAAAAAACAAACAACAAAACACACAATAACAAAGGAACAGCATTTTTATTGGTGTTCTTCAACTCAAAGTCACAGTGAGGCCTTCAACACGGAGCAAAAAAAAACTCTCACCTCACTGCAAGTTAAAGACGGCCCCTAGCACCGGCTTGAACGGAATTCTTTGCAAAAATAATTTGGATAGACTTTGTAAGATGTAACACCACCTAACCTGTCCCGGTCAAAAAAGAACATACAGGAAAGTAGTCCATATTTAAAACAAAATAGTTCCTACGCACAGGTGTAAACCTTAAACCCTTTTGTTTACTTTTTTGATTTGGGAGATGTATAGGCTTTAGTCCTACCCAACCCTAAATTTGTTCATCTGTACGTCTGCAATTTATGAGACCCAATTTCGTATAATTGTGGATCTTCATTTTGTAAATATGCATATCATTTGAAAAAAAAATCCTTAAATGTACCAGGCTTATAATTTCTTACGCCAGACGCACATTTCGTCTACATAAGACTAATGAGTGGCGCTCTAATCAAAAGCAAAATCAAATTTGAAGTTAAAGAGCATCGAAAAAAACCGAAAACTCCGAAAAGAGAAGAGGAAGTTCAAACTCATAAGTCGAAGACAAACTGACGATGCCATGGCAAAAACAAAAAATCGACGAAAAGACAAACAACACTCTACAAAACATAACACAGAAAACTAATGACTCACGAACACGAACCCCATCAAAAACCAGGGGGCAATATAAGGTGCACAGGAAGGGTAAACAACCCTGCTCCACATGTGACACTCGTCGTGTTGCTCATGTACGTACGAATTCGGTGATAAGTCTTATTCGGTGATATCATATTCTTGCAAGAGGGGCGTGATTGTGGTTTCGACAATTGGAACATAACCATGGTCATCTTTGAAACATTTATTCCTTAATGGTAAAACCAACTCGTGATGGCGTTCTTAAAATGTTCGAAGAGATGATTTCAACTTTGCCACTTGGAAACCTTGGTTCTGATAGCTTTCTTGTAAGCAGCAACTCTCTATCAAGGAAATCATGGCCACAAAATCCCGAGAAACAGATTTTATGTTAGGTTTACAACGAACATTGACGTTTTTGTATAATAATGTTTAAAGACATTGTGTTCATAAAAAACATAAGCCTGGTATCTTTAATGATTTCTTTTTCTTCAAAATGTTTTATGCATATTTACATATATAATGAAGATCAACAATTATACAAAATTGCGTCTCATAAATTGCATGTTATTATTGAAGAAAAACGCTTGTGCCTCCACTAAATTTTTCTAAATTATTTAGAAATAGTGAAACTTTAATAATGAATGTAACCTAATAACCATTATCTTTTTTATTTTAAATTTTTACCCGTTTTTTTTTTAAATGATTAGTCAGTGACATCATATCTCCTAATTGGAATTAAGATATTAAGTTATCATTTTTATTTATTGGGGAGATTATGCTTAAAGTTTTTTGAAAATGCCAACATGGCCGGCCTAATAATTAATATTCATCTAATGAATAATAACACAAATAGTGTAAAACCATTTTATACAGTTATGAGCATTTTTGAAAAAAAATATTTCCTTATTGTGTGTTAATCAATAAGGCGTATCCATTCCGTATAGGAATGATTACATATGATAAATGAACAATTGATTATATCATTAAATTATCTATCTTCGTTTACCTTTCATTTTCACTATACATGTTATTATTGTTGAGTTAATAGTTTTATAATTTTTAATAAATGATAAAGTGAAAGAGTGGTCAAAGATACCAAATGGACATTCAAACTCATAAGTCGAAAATAAACTGACAACGCTATGGCAAAAAAAAACAAAAAGACCAACAGACAAACAACAGTACACAACACACAACATAGAAAACTAAAGACTGAGCAACACGAACCCCACCAAAAACTGAGGTTGATTAACTAATATTGTTTTTATTAATACCATATACAGAAGAGATGATATCTTTCTGTGATTGCTCACCTATGACCCTTGTATCTTAGTCTTCATTATGGATTCACCTCATATCTTGATAACTAATATAAAGCAAATTTGATTCATATTTAACCTAAATAATGTATGGATAGGAACTAAGAAATTATACAAACGATTGTTATTCGTTGTCAGTTATAATTAATGCAACCAGCATATGCAGCAATTATGAGTGGATGGTCCGACGTAGATGATATTATTTGAACCACGGAATTTAAAAGCTTAGTTCTAAGAAAAATTATGCTTCACGTTCAACAGTTCAAATATAATTTCATAAATTTTCTTGATTTTCTACATACTAAAATTGAGAATGGAAATGGGGAATATGTCAAAGAGACAACAACCAGGCCAAAGAGCAGATAACAGCCGAAGGCCACCAATGGGTCTTCAACGCAGCGAGAAAATCCCGCACCCGGAGGTGGTCCTCAGCTGGCCCCTAAATAAAATTGTGTACTAGTTCAGTGAAAATGGACGTCATACTAAACTCGAAAACATATAAATGAACTAAAATTAAAAAACATACAAGACTAACAAAGGCCAGAGGCTCCTGACTTGGGACAGGCGCAAAAATGCTGCAAGGTTAAACATGTTTTGTGAGATCTCAACCCTCCCCCTATACCTTTAGCCAATGTAGAATAAAGAAACACACAGCGATACGCACAGTAAAACTCAGTTCAAAAGAAGTCCGAGTCCGATGTCAGAATAGGTAACAAAAGAAACTAAGCAAAATGACAATGATACATAAATTAACAAAGGACTACTAGCAGTTACTGACATTCCAGCTCCAGACCTCAATTAAACTTATTGAAAGATTATGTCTTCATCATATGAAAATCAAGTACAATCCCTCCCGTTAGGGGTTTAGTATCCTACAATCATAAAATACTGTATTTATCTTCTAATTAAACGTCTACAACTTTCATATTGTGTTTGATATTCAGCGGAGAATGCACTTCAGAATCAGTTTATTTTTGTCTTTTTTGTGGTGTTTATAAAACAATGATTACTTACAAATACAAGTATACAAAATATATATTAAATGTTCTCCTCCTGACTCCTTATTCAAGATTATATTAAACATTAGTCCCTAGAATTGATGGATTAAGGCTTAAATGTTATAAAGATTTTTAGAAAATTAAGTTTAACGATACTGTAATTTTGTTTCCTTGAATATTCACTTAAACTAGCGTCACTTTTTGTCTCTTTGTATTCTTATGAATAAAAAAAGTCACTTCTAAAATATAGTATTTTAAACTTCTTTCTAACAGGATGTTTCTCTTTTCTCTTTAACTTCCCTTAAACTACAAAAAGGTGTATTTCATATTGGTAAACACTTTTCAGGTTAAATGACTTTTCATGACGTAAAACAAGGAAAATTTATAAACGATTCCCATTTGTATAGCAAAAGCTCTTTTTAATAAGACGATGTAGTCTATATTTCAAATGTGCATCGGTTATAGCAATGTAAGGCGTAAAAAAATCATAATTTGATTTGATGAAGATTTCGTGGCAGAGCTTTAGAATTTTCTAAATCCAAATCTCTGTTGAAACCACTGATTTAACTAATATCTTCACAACATTTCTAAAGGCCATCTTTAAGTGAAGAAAGAATGGCGATAAGTACTTAAGAAAGATGATCCGTCGAACATCTTGATGACACGGACATATGTGGTTCTTTACAATGCTTTTTGTGAATTTTGGGTATCCAGTCTAAAGACGAGATATTTTATCCTCCTTTTAAATGTAAATACCAAAGTAAAGAAGAATGATTTGTGGTAATTCTAAAATTTCATCTTTCATTAATGATGTAGAAGTATAATAATGTGAGATTCCCTGTTTTGCTGGGCCTTCTTTAGTAAGAAATTGATAACAATAATTTTACGTATAAAATAACATTGTTTGAGGTTTTGTCGGTTGGAACAATAATAAGACGTCACATGTTTTGTCAGGATGACAAATAAACAGAGAATCAAAGTCTTCTATACAATATTTCAGCAGTAACCCAAACCACAAAGTTTCTGACAGTGCTTTTTATCATCAATGATTGAATTGAAATCCTTTGCCCATGCGTCATTAGTATTTTACACAAAATACAACCGTTTATTCCTGCAACATTACTCACTCGTCATTAAATTCACCAAATCGAATACCGAACAGAATAGTTTGAAAAACAACACAATAAAAATTCCAAACTCTATAGGTTAATTGTAGGCATTACTGTTTAAGGTTACTCCAAAAATCAATTACGAATGCAAAAAATTTAAATTCAAAAGCTAAAACAGAGGCGAAAAATACCAAAGGGTCATTAAAACTCATAAGTAGAAAAATAGACAAAAAGTCAACAAAACAACAGTATACAAAATACAACTTAGAAACCTAAAGACTGAGCACGAACCCCACCCAAATCGGGATGATCTCAAGTGCTCCAGAAGGAGTGTAAGCATATTCTGCTCCACACGTGGCACCCGTCGTATTGTTCTTGTAAGTACAAACCCGTCGTGTTAAGTCTTATAACCTAAGAATAATCAACACTGAGCTAAATATCTGGAAAACAAAAGTCAGGAGAACACAAAAAGCAAATGTTTACATATATGACCATACGACAAGAATTAGGTATACAATAGGATAAAAATAAAGTTAGATTTTATGTAAAGTTTGACAAAGTTTTGACATTATTTCCTTGAATATGCACTTAAACTAGTGTTACTTTCTGTGTCTTTGTGTCCAACTGAAAAACATCCCTAAAGGAAAAACTGATATTTTACACTTCTTTCTAACAGGAATTTTTTTTCTCTGCTATAACTCCCCTTGAACTGCTACAAATAACCTGTAAATAATGCGAGTGATACCGTGAGCATAAGTCATGAAGTTATAGCCATCCCAGATTAAAGGTAGGAAAGGTTCATTTCATTACTTATCAGGTAAAAATTATGATGTTTTGAATAGACCATTAAATTACATGAACATCATAAAGTTTCATTAAAATTTTTCAGATCATCTTAGGAAAATAGTGCATCCTTGCTTCGCGGAAAGTAGAAGCTTAAGACCATTGGAATTAACTCAAATTTACAATCCTAAGTAATATGTTTTCATTTACATCTTTATTTATTTTCTTTAAACTGTTTACTTTCAGCAAATCATATCAAGGGAAGCATTATTTGTGTTTAGAGGGTTTATGAATGAACGAATAAAAAGGAAAGACGATCGAAAGACCGGTATGTTCTTGTCTATATTTGTTACCTTTTTGCAACTGTATTATTATTTCTAAGCAGTCATTTGATATAAACGAATTATCACAAAAGTTGCATCGGAGTTGATGATAATTAAAAGTTATATTGTAAAACCTGAAGCTTCGGAAAACATGGTTTTGTAAATTATTTGTCACATAATTAGTCGACCCCTGCAAAACACAAAATAGAAAAATATATCCCTCTTTACTTGACAGATGGCAGTATTTTAGACAAATGTACAAGCTTTAATACATACTTGCTCGCTGTTTACATGGTATTGTACAATGTAAACTATATAAAGCTTAAACTGAAGGAACACTCTTCTGAGAATTAAATCTTTGAGTTCATGGTTTTATGAATAATCGAAAGAGATCAACAACAGATATTTGTTTGGTATTAAAATTTATCAGTTTTACATTTTGTGGAAAAAATTAGTCATTTATAATTTAATGTCGTATCCTGTTTATTTACTTTTTCTTTAATATTTTATTTTGAAGTAAAGGTAATTTGTTCGATTCTTTCATTGGTTTTCTTTGATTTACAACGTTACAACAACAAAGCAAAATGGCGGGTTAAACCTGGCTTAATAGCAAGCTAAACATCCGACTTGTATGACGGTTGTTTAAAGTTCCGTTATATTGACAAAATTGCGTGAGCAACCAACACAGACATAATAGGTTAAGGTGACAATAAAATTGGAATCTTAGCAGTTTTATTAGACTGAGATCCCTAGTACAGTTTAGGAGAGTCTGTCTCCGGGACATTTTTGTTCATCTTTTTGAAACGAGGCACAAAAAGTGTTAAACTGCAAATGTGTTATTAAAAAAAGGTTGCAAAAAAATAAAACAATATTAATATATTCTTCAGCAATATAAGTTGGTTGTAACCCAAATAAAAGGTCTGCTAGACTGGTTCTGTTTATTTCTAAAAGGACCTTAAATGGATTTTACTGAATTTTGTGGTTTAAAAGAAATTTCCAGCAGTATGATTGCTAAAATTCAATAAAAGTATTGACCTCATTAACAAACACTACATTGATATTATGCAAATTACTACAAAAAGTTTTATAACAAGATTAAAGAAAAAATAATTTCAAACTTTGCAAAAATCTTATTCTAATGAATTCGGGTGTATTGTGTTGAAATCAGTTTAACTGCACTGCTGTAGATCAAATATGAGAACTGTATGTACAATCTATACATGTTATAACTATATGTTCTTTATATCCTTGTGTATGTATTGTAATTAATTGTTTTACTGACTATTTATGATTGTCTGATTTATTTGTGCTATACCTATACTATGTTTGTTGACGTAGTTCAAGTTTATCTTCTTAATGCAATAACTTTATTCTAGAAACTGCACTGAGTGTCTGCTGTACGGGTAACTTCACCTTATCTTTTTGATTCTAATCGAATAACTCAAGTTTCCTATTTTTGATTTGCACCTGTTTTGTTTTTTTTTAAAATCAACGAATACGTCGAGATCATGTATAAGTTATATATTTTTTGCAGCAGTAAATACATAGATGATAACGCTCATAATCTCCATTAATGGATAACTTATTAATAGCCGGCTTGTTCCTTCATTCAAAGGAGGTTGACTTCATACAGGAGCTTCTTAGCAATAATGAAAAGAATCTAGCATTATCCTTTAACTTTACTTTCCGCTATGTAGATGATGTCTTCTACTAAACAATTCAAATTTTGGTGTCTATGTTGAACGCATGTATCCCATCGAACTTGAAATAAAGGATACGATTGGTACAGTAAAGTCTGCCTCATATATTGACTTACATTTATAAATTGACAATGAGAACACAACTTTACTGCAAATTGTGAACTTTCAGTTTTTACTAGCAACATTCCAGCAGCGCCTGCATGCATATGCTTAGTCTTTAGTTTTCTATGTTGTGTCATCTGTACTATTATTTGTCTGTTTGTCTTTTTATTTTGGCCATGGCGTTGTCAGTTTGTTTTCGATCTATGAGTTTAACTGTCCCTTTGGTATCTTTCGTCCCTCTTTTGCAATCTTGTCATTGACTGCCCCATAGGCTTACATGCAAAACAGCTGATCTTTGAAATTTTTTTTAAATAAAATGCTGCATAGAAATATTTTTTCATGTTCATATCATGTATAAAGTAATGTGAAATTTTGATTTAATGGGAAAAAAGTGGGTCATGCCACGAAGAATAAAAAGTTATGAAACCCTGAAGTCTGTTTGCTGTTTTTACTAGGCCGCACCACTTCCAGTAAACACGATATCCTTCCACTTTCCTGGTTTGATATCTCAAAAAAGATGCATTTAAAAAAAAAATCTGAATAGATGTTTCAATTCAGCATAAACTTTTAATCAAACAGAAAAAAATGAGCCCAGAAAAAAAATTAAAAAAAATGGATTATTTTATTGCACTCCATGTTTTGACATGCACCGGACACTGGAGTTTTAATACAAGACTGGTATCTATAACTGTAATGACATGCCTTAAAAAATAAATCTTTTAACTTTTTATCATTTGGTTGTCATAATTGAACATAGAAAATGCCATTAAAAGAATTGTTTAGTTGTATTATTGAATATAATTCCACTATTATAAGAGTACCCTTTTCTGAAACAAGTCAAAATTTGGAAATAAGTCATGCCTATCAAATGATCTGTAAATCGCATTGTATTTATTATTATAAATGTTTACTAATTATTTGGATACATTGAAGCTAGGGGAGAATTCTTGTTTATTTTTTTTTCATTTTCCTTCGCTTTGATCAAACCATTTACAACATTTTCTCCCTCCCCCTTTTTTCCATGAAATCTATCCAAGTAGGTCGCTTGTTTAAGTCAAATTGATAAACTGCCCAAAAACATTTTCATCATGAAGATTTTGTTGCAATACAGCTTTATAAAGACAAGAAAGAATATACCTTTCTCGTTTTTGACTACACATGTGCTCATACGTGCCTACTATATCATGGTTTTTTGGCTGTACTTCAAACACCCATGCATATAAAATTTGCAATAAAATCCTAGAATAAACAAAACGAATAGTCAAGTTGGTGTTTTTGGTAAGAATATTGATTACTTGTAACACCTAAGCACAAAAATCCTTGTCAGCATGGATAGAATTAGAAAATTCTACTTTTTAAACAAATTTTCAACCCAAATATGGAATTTTCATTTAACATTGCAGTGCCGCATACAGGACAAGAAGTCATAGTCTCTTGTAAAGTGAAAATTTTGTGAAATGTTTTTCACCAAAAGTTCATTTTATTTATTTTCTACCTAAATGTCAACAGATGCGCAATAAAAAAAATAACCCGAAAGAAAAATTTTAGTTTTGTATGTAGCTGTCTATTCAACTTTCTGTTAGTTGTTTTTACTACGCCACACCACTTCCACGTTTATAACGTGTTGTTTTCATTTTTTTCCGCAGTAAACACTTCCACTTTCCTGGTTTGATCCCCCCAAAAAGATGCAATATTTTTTTTAATCTAAATAGATGTTTCAATTCCGCATTATCTTTTAATCCAACAAAAAAAATTGAGTCCCAAAAAAAAAATCAGAAAAAAAATGGTCTATTTTATTTCACTCCATGTTTTGACATGCACCGGAAACTGGAGTTGTAATACAAGACTGGTAGCTGGAGTTTGTGGCTTCGTTTACCAAGGATTCCTTGCATTTCATAAGTCACTTAAGCTGTTTCCGTCTCATGTGCTCAAATTAACTAAAGTATTTTGTAACCATTATTTCGTGCAGGGGGTGCATATTCAATTTTGTTTCTTATAGATGTTACTTTAAACTTCCTAAATATAGCAAGAAAATAATTTTATTGTCAATCTTAAATGAATTACTTTGAAAACACTTAATTATAAAACCAAAATATATTCATATTGACATGTTGCATATCACTTTGTAAGATATTATCTAACCCCAACTATAAAATTACAAAATAATATGAATACTACTTTAAAAGAACCCACGGTATTATTTAAAGTTAAAATTGTAAGATCTTTAACGCCAATTATTTCACTCGATTACTTGATCGTTTTAGGTCAACAACTAGCACGATACTGAAAAAACGTTGCTAAGATTCGACAAACTTTTGCAGTTGACAATTAAGTGCATTAAAGAATCATATAAGTATAAAAAAATAGATATTTTCTTTTAATAAAAAAAACACTGAAATAAACAGGACATAAAAGTAAGTATTTTCAAAATGCCATTTTTTCTAGGAAAAAAGGAAGTTGAAAGTCAATGAAATCAAATGAATGCAATGTACACACCTTTTTCAATCAAGTGAACCCAAACAAAATACTAACACGAAAGTAATGTTATAGTTTTCAAAACTTCAAGGTAATTATAAAGTAATACTAAACGTATTCAAGCATAATGTGTTAACCCTAATATATACTTCCTGCTAGATAAACACATAGAACACACAAAAGATCTCAATAAAAGATTATCGGTGGTTTTTCAAACGAGAGGGTGTTTCTCAGCTACCATCTCATCGAAGGGCGACAGCCCTGAGATGAGATGTGGCCGAGAAACATCCCTTGACAATCTGTTTATCGCTATTTTGCCTATGACGTCGTTGATGTTGACATTGACAACGTCACGTCACGTGCGCACTTAGTCAGAACATGCAAGGTACATCATTATACTTGACATCTTTGAATGCTCTACAAATGAAAATCATCAAACGATTTAAAGATCATCACTAGGGTTTACTCTAAGTGTGGAGACAAATCTACGTGTTTTGTACGTTATGAATGTCATTACATGACATTCCTACGAAATTTCTCCTTTGATTTCATTAAAATTAAGAATGGAAATGGGAATGTGTCAAAGAGACAACAATCCGACCAAAGAGCAGAAAACAAGTCCAAGTCTCAGACAAACTAGAGGGTCACGGAAGACTACAGCGTTTCCCATACTATGAAATCAATCAGGATTTATCCAAATCCACCGAGTTATGATCACATAATTGTAAATTTTATCTTTCTGACCATTAAGCTGTTTGCAGTTTTTCTCTATATATTGTGAATTCATTACTTGTAGTTGGATACCAGTTGTCGTGGATTTCGTGGGTAGAGGTACCACAAATTTAACTATTCAACGAAGAACAACTTTTAAATTGTCATGTATGCAGACTTTTAAGAGCCACGAAAATCAACTATCCACGAAAATACAATTTTCCCTCAATCCACAAAAATTGGTATCCACGAAAATAAATGACTCCTAATAGTATAGTAATGAGTTTATCGTAATGGCGCAACCATGGGTAAACGTGGTTAATGAACGACCAAAACATTTGCAAAGAGTTGATTGACAATTCAGTTAGTTTGACTGTTTTTCGACCCTATTTTGCTGATAATTTTTGTAGGACATTTATTTCATCTGTCAAGATACTGGCAAAAATAACAACTTATCATGTTAGGAATACAGTTCCTTTAAGAAACCGATTGACAATTTCAGTTATATTGACTTAACTGTAGACCTTTTTTTAGCAGATCATTCTTTTGCTTAAAGTTTCTCAATATTAACTATATCATCATTGATGTCGATTACTGCAATAATGAGTCGATTTGCGGTTTCGGGCACGATGTAGATCTTATATCGCTTATCACTGTTGATTTTTAAGTTGTAATGTATTTATAAATCATGCCGTAATGATCATTTTACCTCTTCACAGATTTACTATTTTTCACAGATGACGACATACATATTTCAATTAAGGTCATCCCTATCCCATCCTCTTTTTTGGCGAATGTGACATCCCCGAATAAGACTTATCCTCGTATCATCGTATTTGTACTAATTCGAGAAATACGAAGGGTGCCACATGTGAAGCAGTATCTGCCTGCCTTTCCGGGGCACATGACAGAACCCCGATTTTTGGTGTGATACGTTGCTCAATATTTTTTTTTCTCTGTTGCTTTTTGTTGTTTTTATTTCGTTTTTGCCATGATGTTGTCAGTTTGACTTCGACATATCAGTTTGATTATAACTCCCGCCTCTCCTTGACTATAGTTCTCGCCAAAAACGTAATCCAGGGTAACATTCATCATTGAAAGACAATCACTTTGATAAGAAGTAGAATGACAATTTCTGTCTTGTTATTTATTTGTAGATCTTGTCTAGCTAAAACTTGTTACTGTTAAAGTTCTCCCTAGATATTGTAGTTTTTAATATCAAAGCCACAATTAAAGTGTTATGCCAATAGTAGCAAAATTATTTCAATATAGTATGTAGTTTTATCGATATCTAAATAAAACACATCACGTCATCAAATAGGAGAATTTCAGTCTGATAGTATTCATTCAAGTTTATTCAACCGGTCAAATTCTATTCGTAGTGAAAGAGGTTCTTCAGAAATACTGTGAAACTGTTTACTAGCGTAGTGGTATTAACCATATGAGGATTCTAAAAGACCTTAAAGAAATTCAGACACTTGTCAAAAACAAGATGATTAAAGATAATTTAATTTCACATTCAGATATATATTGATGATGTTCTTTCTATTAACCATCCAAACATTTCTGATTGGGTTCCATTAATATATCCTTCAGCACTAGAAATTAAAGAAACAACAGTAACGGCTTCCTCCGCCTCATTTTTAGACTTATTCCTCGAATTTGACATAAGTGGTCATTTCAGTACCAGAATCTATGACAAACGAAACCATTTTAATTTTGAAATTATAAATTCCCCCCACCTTAGCAGCAATATACCAACTTCACCTGCATATGGAATAAAAATTTCCAAACTCATTCGGTATTCAAGAGCTTGCATCTGCTACTCAGACTGTATAAAACGTCGCCAGTGTCTGAGCAGAAAGTTGATGAACCAGGGTTATGTCAAAGAACGTCTTGATCTTTTTCTAAAAAGGTTCATCGGAAGATACCAAGACCATGTTGATAAATATTCCTTATCAACTTCACAAATAATACATAATGGTCTTGAAGTATTGAATCTAGGTACTGACGTTGTTTGGCATCTTATTTCGGTGTTATAGTGTTCATTTTAGTTGTCTTTGTATATTTTTAACCTTTACTGTTTAGTCCATTTTTGGTAATATACTGTTGACGTGGCTCGGTATTTATACATTCCACCATTGTGTTATTGTGCTATGGTCATTTTTGTATTCTTTTCTTTCAGTTTTGCTTATGTACTTTGTCTATATGCCATTTTGTATTTCTTTGTTGAAATAGTTATTTGTTTTATACTGATCAGATTATAACACATTGTTGACTGTTGTGCCCTAATTTTTGACATTTTTACCTATTATGTCTATTTGTTTTGCTCACACACATTGTTGTCAATATTATGGAATTATATGCGACTATCACTTTTCACAGTATGGACAAATTAGGCCATGACGACATATCAATCTTCAAATGATAAAATTTACCATTATAGTTGTTGTCTGAATTTAACTTTCATAATACGTTAAATAATCATAAATTGATATGCCAGATTATCATTGTAATAGAAAATCCCATTACGTTTTAATATGCAACGTATTTCAAAAAACGATTAAATGCAAAATAAATAAGGTACATTATCAGATGGTACGCCATATTTCGAAAAATTACTCTTAAAACTTGTTTAGACTGATTACATAATAGACATTATTATGAGTTCTATATTCAATCAAACCTTGTTTCAGTCAAATTACAAATTTACTATTTTAAATTTTGTTTTTTTTTCAAAATTTACAAAAAATGCAAAATAAATAGTGTATTTTCTTCAGTCTTATTTTAAACATCCTGATAAAAATATTATGCGTGGAAACTAAACTTACTCTGTTAAAATTCTGGTTAATCAATTGAAAAATGAAACGAAGCAAGCTGTGTATATGTTAGGGGCATACGAATTTCAATGTCTAACCAATGTTTGACTAGTTTTAAGTAAAATTCCAATTGCTATACAGACGTATAATTAAGATACGCATTTTTTATTGAATTTTCCAGATTATCATTGATTTAATAATCTAATTTTAGGAATGTTCATTAAATAAAAATATCTGTTTGCATCCACTTTTTCCGTCTGGCATGCGAGTTTAATTTCATACTTGTATACGATGCATGGCTATTAACGTCTACATTTTTATTTTCTTACAGACACTTTCCAAAAATTGTGAAAATGGCAACAGATAAAGGTGAATCATTACATTTTTACAAATTCTTATGTAAAAAGATTGGAACTGAACGGGTTGTAAAACTAAGTCGGCTTGCTAACACAATTTATGACCATGGAAGTTTCTTACAAATAATTAGTGGAAGCAAAGGTGAAGGACTTGATTTAAAAGGCAGTGACATTGATCTTATGTATATTCATCCTGATTTTAAAGTTTTTGAATCAGAAAAAGCGGTTGTTGTGTCAAGTACAAAGATCCCAGTTGTTATGGACACAGATGACACACCTCCATGTTTCACCAAACTACGTCTATTCTTCGAAAAACCGCATATTTACTCTGAAAAATTCCAACAATTTTTCCAGACTGATTGTCGTGGTAAATATGTGATTTCAAGCGAATTATATAAAAAGGTTCTATTTCCATATACTCATATCGGTCACGTTAAAAAACCCGGAATAATACACGGACCATGCATAACTGACGAAGATGGTTCTTTTGACATTACATTGGCTCTACAATGTAATCAATGGATATCTCCAGTTCAAACTTGGGTTACAAGATCACGTACAACATGGCCTTCACCAGACCTCATTTCGAAAATAACATCCTGTGGTGTTTTGTTTGTACCTGTTGGATTTAAAGGGTCTATACATGAAAACATACAGTGGCGAATCTCATTTTCAGTAGCAGAAAAATGTCTCATATTTTCTTTCAGTCATACCCAGTTATTATGTTATGCTTTGCTAAAAATTGTATTTAAAGAAATAATGGACAAACAGGAAGAATTGAAAGGTTTATTGTGCTCTTATTTCTTAAAGACATTGTTATTTTGGATTTCAGAAGAATCCAGACCATCTGTTTGGATACCTGAAAATATCATACCATGTTCTAAGGCATGTGTGCAAAGACTATTGTACTGTATAGAATATTCAACACTATTACACTATTTTATTCCCGACAATAATTTATTCTATTTAAGATTCAATTGTAAAAATAAAAGAAATTTAATCAACTTCCTAAATCATTTACACAACATCTGAATTCAGTGTTTTGATTTATCAGAGACTTTAGCTGGTTATTCTAAAGTAACTAATCTTAATATATCGAACACTGACGACATTAAAACAACCCTAGAAACGATACTACCATATCAAGTTTTTTTTCAAGGCTGTCAATTTAAAAATCTGCTGCATGGTTTGCTATATTATTCTAGAACTGATTTATCTTCAAGTTTGTTCATTCTATTCTTGTCACGTGCATACCGGGACTTGCCGCATACAAAACAAAAAGAAAGCAAAACAAACAACAAACGCCTATACCGCAATTACAGAGATGTACTTAGTCATCTGATGATAGATTTACAATCAGATGCAGTATCTGGATGGGTGAAGTTGGCATCTTTTTACTATGTTCATAAAAACTACTTAACATCGTTAGATATAATCAATTATGTATTAGGTAAATGCACTGATGAAAAGATTAACATGACATTATTTGCAGAAAATCTAAATCTTAAAGGAAATCAGGAAACTGTGCTGAAATATATGAAGCAAGAAAAACTGTACACAGTGCTTAAAATGCTGACCTTTTTAAAGCTAACATTTAGTATTGAGTCATCAATTATCCCATCAGAACTAGATTTGGTTGTAAAAGACATCGCATTACAAATCTGTCCATTACCATTTGTACGTTTCCTTCAGTTCCTGTGTTACTATCATCTACATGATTTTACATCATGTGAAAATCCTCGTCGTCAATTGATTCTACAAACGAGTTTTTATTTTTCATTTGAAAAATCTCATTTTGTACTATATGTTCTAACCTTTTATGCCATAGCTTGTCAAATGATGGGTAAGACACAGTTAGCGAAAGCAATATTGCAGTATTTGATTCATATTGACAGGTTTAATTTGACAAATGCAGCATTAAGACTGTCAACACTCAACTGAAACAATAACACATGTTATTACGAATTCAGTGATATTGCTTGTTCCGTAAGGGTTTTGTAATTCACATTTAGATCTGCATACAAATTACAAGTACTAAAATTAAAGGATATTATGTTTAATACCTTTTCCATGGCATATATGAATACATGAATTCGTTTTTCATGATAAATACTTTTAACAAACTTATGCCAAACATCGCACGGAAAAAAACAGTCCATCAGTAGCAGTATCAATGACAAGAATAAAATTTATCTTTTGCGAGACGGACCCGTTTGGGGACATACATATTTGAGACACTTAAAAATATATTAGTTATTGAATTTTTTAAACTAAGTTATACGTTTATATATGTATGATTTCATTTGTCTTTAGTGTTAAAATTAAAACATAATACATCCGACTTCTGTTAGCACGTCTTGGTAAATGTTATGTATCTAAGAATGATTATAGTTATTAAGAAATTAAACCAAAGTAAGATGTTTTGTTTTCATTGTATAGTTAAACCACATTGGTAGTGATCCCATATAGTATACAGGATAAAATATTACATGATGATATTGAAGTCAAAGTAACTAACCGTATCCTACAAAGAAGAAGAAAACTCATTGGGTAATATTATACAATAATACAGACAATACTCTGACCTAAAGAAAAATGGAGAAAAACAACAATCCCCCAAAAGATGCAGCAAAGAAAAGTTGGATTGAGCAGCAAAAAATGAATAAGGAGATCAAATGTAAATGCCAATGAGACAACTATTCACCAGAGACCAAAGCACGAGTCATCGTACGACTTTCGACAATAAGCAAAACTCTTATATAAAGTAAGCTATAAAAGACCCTGCATGTCATATGCTTTGCATATTTTTAGAGCCTGTACACTTCTTGAATTTAGTGTAAGACTGCCAAAAATTTGCCAAAATAGCTCTTATTATATCTTATCAGTAATAAATGGGATTGAACTTTACAAAACAAAATATATTTTGCTACAAAATGTATTAAAACAATGTTAATGTTGCTCAGTCTTTAGTTTTCTATGTTGTGTTTTGTGTACTATTGTTTGTCCTTTGTTTTGTTTTGATTTTTAGCCATGGCGTTGTCAGTTTATTTTCGACTTGTGAGTTTGAATGTCCCTTTGGTATCTTTCGCCTCTCTTCATATATATATATTAAATAATAAGCTTTAGGTCACATATATATTTCGTCCATTTATTCTGTATCAAACATGTTTAAAACGTCAAAGTGACATCATACAGCAACATTTTAACCTAAGGTGTCAAGAATATATTACCCTGTTCGTCATTTTCATTTGTCAATTAATTTAACACAATTGTGAAAGTCTTGTATCAATTTTTCAAATGTCATACAGCCTCTTGAATTCTAAAACAATAAACGAAAAACATTTAAATTTAGTCTCGACTGGTCTAAATCAGCCCATCTATCTCAATTATATATTGATCTTACAAAATTCCAGGTTATTGGTAATTTGGTTCATTGCTGTCAAATTTAAGGATTTCATTAATAGGTAAAAAAAGCTAGAATTTTCAGTTCGGACTAAATTCAGATAGTCACCTTTAAAAATTTCTATAAATTTTCTTAATCAACTTGGATTTTCATATAACTCTACAGCTATCTCAATTATATATTGATCTTACAGAATGCTAGGTTGTTTCGTAGTTTGGTTTATTGCTGTTAAAGCACAAATAAGGTCTTTTCAGATGCTCAGCAGGTTGTAGTGTTAAGTATGAGTCATATGCATTCTTAAGAATGTATGTTCATGTGTAAGGTTAAATATAGACACCGAAGAATGTAGGACCATTAGTGTTCATAACTGAATAGCAATGCATATTTAATTATTCTTAACAACATCCTCTAGAATATCAGTGTGTGATATCCCGTTTGTAAGATTTCTACACATACAGTCATATTTCAAAACATACTCTTTGTATCTATAAAAAAGCAAGATCAACCAACGCAATTTTAACCAAAACCTGCGGGTGCTCCGTAATGGGAAGAATTGTAATTGTATCTTTTGACAAGCTGTAAGATCTATCAGGGATATATCAATATATCAAAACAAAATGGGAATACTATTTTCTATTTGACCCCTACAAATATTTTAGTAATCATATTTAATACATGTTAAACTCAGCATGTTTAAGTCACAGATTCCAATGATTGTTTGTGAAACATCTTCATTGATTTAAAATGTTTAAGTATATTTTTGACTTACCATACCACTAATGTTGAAATAAGTTTAAACAAGGACAAATTTGCATTAACGTCGTACGCTTCATCGATTTGTCATTGTAACAAAATAACCATTCTAAATCCATACACTGAAGACAAGGTTGATACTAAATACATGTAACATTGAAACTTGTCTACTTGATTTTAAAGAACTACTAACTCTAAGCCTGCTACATTACGTTCATACAAATAAAACAAGGAGACAACTACATATCAGGGGTAAGGGTTGGTTACTAAAACCTGATGTTCGCCAACAATGATAAGGCATACACCCTGTGCCAATCAAAGAAACACATACACATGTAGGACTTCAAATGTTGTTAATAAAGTATTTGTCAGGTAAGTAGAATTTCAATAATTGACCTGCAGGCCAACAGACATGATCAAGGGTATTGTCCGGAGGTTGATGACACATCTGAATTAGGGTTAGACTTATATACCAAACATCAAAAGCCTTTTTCAAAAGACAATCTGTAAAAACCCAGACACAATTATTTCACTTATAAAAAGTCTTGTCCGATTTTCATAACGTGATGTATCACATACAAAATATCATAAGCTTTTGTGAAAGGTAAAAAATGTTATTGCCCAGACACCATGGAATTAGATAAAATATAAATGTTAAGCATTACATGGTGTTGAGGGATGTACATATATGGCTATATGACAAATATCATACTATTTTTTGTTAAAAAATACATACAAGTAATTGCTTGTATTTGATTAAGACATTTACATAAATTGAACTTGAAGTCAAATGTAAAGATCAAATGCAACGTCTATGCGTTTAGGACACATCGAAGCGAGTTTAATGTACCGACATGAAAAAATGACAAATTTCAAAGTCAACGGTCACAAAAGGACTAGAAGCAATAAGTTGACCTCTAGGACATAGGACCGTGCAAGGGCTGTATAGCCAGTCAAGGTCGTTAAAAACTTCCATTTGTTGTTGGTTAGGTCAAAAGTATTGGCCTCTTATGGTCTTGAGATGATGTCCTCATATGTCAAACATTACAACCTATGTCAGAAGATTAAAACGATTGAATCAGGAAATAATTGCATTAGAAGACGAAGAATAGTGACAATGAGAGGAAATCAGGGTAAACAATATGTCCCCGTCATTTAAAAAGAACTAATATTAAATCAGGGGTCTGTTGTTCAACTTGTCGTTAGTACTAACGAGTCGTTAAAATTTCTTAATCATTCGATTAAAAATAATCATACGAATAGTGTGTTGTTCAACTTGTCTTTAGTTTACACGCGTTGTTAAAAATGCTAAAACTGTCGTTTAATTTAATCCACTCATGAAGGTATGTTAAATTTTAATCAATTGATTGAAACATCAAATATGGCTGCTGTTGCAATGAAAAAATTGGTTTAAGCTCGAAAAATGAGACGTTTTAGAGGGTTTTTTTTATCCCCTAGAAAGAGATTTTAGCAATGATCTGACAGCTATAAAAGTGCTATACTAGAGTAGTACAGACTACATCGTGTCAACAATAAGACACACAAAAAAGAATTGAATACAAAACGTTACACAAAATATAATGAATAAAGCAAAATAAGACTCGTTTAATAAAGGGGATGACATCGGATACTTCCGATGGATAATTAGCTTCATTTCTTCTAGAGACATTTCCTGACAATGTGGTAATTTGAAAATTTAGATGCTCTAGATTTCAATTTGAGGTTGCACTGGGTGGTGATAATTTTGTATAACAAAAGGGGAGTACTAGGAGCACAAAAGGTCCAAGAATATCGTTATACATGTACTACAATAGGCTTAAAATGGTAAAAGTTCTGTACATGTAATTCCCATCAAATTTGTCAAATCAAAATAACTATATAGTGATGCCTATCACACATGTTGACTAACGATATCACTAAGTATTATAGCATCGCATACATGGATTGAGCAGTATATGAGTCATTATATGCTTTAATAGGCCAAAAATTATCAACTTCATATAACGCATGCAAGTAATGTCAATTCAAAACTGCGGAAAAGTATTGTCAACTGCAATGATGACTAATAAATCTACTGGAAGCTTTCAAATAAATATATCGTTTCAGAGTGGTGAAGTTCACAGTTGTCATTTTGCTGTCATAGGCAAAACATGTATTAGGGACTTAAACTTCTAAAAATGACAAATGTTAAGGTACTTTAAGGGTCCTTTATGTCCTAGGAAATGGTAGTAATACAAAATCAGCAGATTTATGCATATGGATACTTGATAAGTATGTGCAACGTTAAAACCGTAGTGTCTTTCAAAAAGTATGATATTTTTGGAGGTGTTCGTGTGGCTTAATCTTCAATTTTCTGTGTAATGTTTTGTTCTTTTTTTTATTTTCTTCGGTTTTCTTTTTTATCATGGCGTTGTCCGTTTTTGCTGGATTTGTTTTTTTCCCCATCCTTCTCCAAATGAATGAAACTTTTATGGCATATATTTTCAAAGGAGCAGATATCGAAAGTGATATAATACTACAATAGTCATAATTTGTCAAAATCCCGTTACTTCTGCAAACATTATTCAGTCAAAATTACAGAATGATATTGCCCATAATAAAAACCATTCAACTTAGTATAAAAGCAATCAGTCATATGCTACAATAGGCCGAAAAGATTAAACGCCCAGTAACTCCCGCGACAAATGTCAAAATAAAAATTACGATATGGTATAGTCAGCTACGAATATTGACACACCTTTGGCACAAATGAGTAACGTTCACAATATAATTATGCTAAAATAGGGTTTGAAATGTCAAAAATCCATCACTCTCGAAACTTGTCATATGAAAATGGTGGTGCATTGTAGTCAAATACACTGATACACACAAACCTCAAACGTATGAAAGCTGTGTTGTAGTTTTTGTTAGAGGGATAGGGTGTCACGGAAGGAGGCAAGGAGGCAGAAACTTACTTTACATTCGCTGAAATATTACTATTAGCACTAAAATAGAATCTGAATAAAGGGCGATGTTAGGTTCTCAACAATGGGAGGGACAAAAACAAAACCAAAACCAATTTGTTTTAGGGGTCAACATACGATTCTAAACAAACTATATGTATACAATGTTTAGTTCTTCAAAAAATTATTTGAAGCTTGCGTTATACGAAAAAAAAAACTATTTCAGAATTAAAAATAGACCTTCCTCCCCCTTCGAAGTAAAATGGTCTTTCCATTAATTCTGCAATATTTTAGCCGCTAAAGTGCATCCTCTG